TGGAGGGTTCCGGGGGGCAGGTGGCGCCCGGGCCGGGCGGTCACCACCACTCTAAGGGCGGCGGGGAGGGAGCCCGGCCCCGGGCTGGCGGGGCCGCGGGACGTGTGCGCCCTCGCAGGGCTTTTTAGGGTGGACGTATCAGCTCAGTAAAACCGGACAAGAAGAGCTGGGCCACGTTAGTAGTCCCTAAAATACTTGTTTTTCCAAGGGAGATTTAACCTCGTGAGCTGCGTAGGGTGCTTGCTTTCTTACAAATGATTGTTTGAGGTATCCTGTAATAGTGTATGTAAACTGTATTAATATAACAGTTATTTGCAAATGAGCTTTTAAGTAATTCAGGTGCTTTTTTTCCAGTCATTTTACTCTGCCTTAGAATATATTGGTGTGAAATTTGTATTGGTATGAAATTTGAATTTGATTAAGTTTACTGTTTTCAAAATTGAACATAAAGCCTCCCATTCAGTGGACCGAGGACAGGAAACACTAATTTAAGTTTAGTCGTAGCCGTGTGATTCATGTAACACGACAAGCAAGGCAGGGATGGCGTTTCGGTCCCGGTGCTGAGCCTCGGGCTCTTCTCGGCTCCTGCAGCGCACAGGAAATGAAGTCCTCAGAAGTCTGCAACAAGTGAAGTCGGACTTGGAAATGTGAATGGCTCAAGGCCAATGGCCATGAAAAGTTAGGAATATATAATGATACTCCGTCGTCTGGAGTACTCCGTTTCCCTGCATCTGCCCCTGGAGCAAGGCAAGAAGAAAGGCTTTGGCCAGCCTTTCACGCTCTGAAAGCTTACGGTGGTCAAAGGCAGAGCTTAGCGAAGCAACGTCTTGTGCACAGTGTGTTCCTGTGCCATTATTTATATTTAGTCTACTACTACGAGGAAAATCAATGAATTGGAGACTTCAGATCCTTCCTTGGTTTCTGGTTCTTCTGCTGGGAAGAAGGGTCTGTAGAGCATCTGGAAAAACATCAAGCAGGCAGGTGTGCAGCGTGAGCGGCTGTCTCCACAATGCTCTGTCACTAAAGCCCTGGCCAGAAGTAGAGCCTACAATTTAACAGGCTTGGGATTGGGGCCCAGGGATCTGCTGTTATGCAAATTTATGTATTTATGATTTGTTTGATATGCATGATGTTGGAACAGGAGAAATTATATAGGAGAACATGTGATTTTTCTGAAGCCACTTATGCAAAACCACTATAATTGCATTATAAATGGGACTGCGGCAAAGGAAATGACTGATCAGTTACCAGGGCAAGCTGTATAAAATGATTTAAATCTCTGCTTTTGGCCCTTTTAGAAAATGTAAGGCAGTTTACAGTTTTCTGGTCTAGTGTATCCTATTGTTATGTGTAATTATGTAGAGGTAAGAATAGCCATGCACGTGGAGCTACAAGTACCTTGGCTTTTGCCATCATTGGTAAATACAGTGTTTTTCAGATCGTGGTCAGAAGAACTTGGCTAATGCTGCTTCCAGGAGAGGGCTCAGTATTTTCTGCATGTCAGCGTGTGACTGTGGCATGCAGTGAGGATGAACTGGATCTGTCCTCCAGCTTCTGCTCTCTGGAGCAGTGAGTGCACGCTCCCTTCCTGTGGTGTTTTTCCCAGTTCGGATAGTATCTACGTCGCAGAACCAGTTTCCTGGGTCTTAGCGCTCAGAGTCTATTGATGTAACCTCCTTCTGCTTTAAACCTGAAGCCACGGAGCCGCTAGGGAACGCGCTTTCAAGCTATGAGCGTTTCAGTGTAAAATACATAAATGGTTCTTGTAGTGGCAACCAGAGTTCTCGCCTGGGAAAAGGTGAGAAAACCCTAGTCCTTAGGTTAGAGAACTATATTCACTCGATGCTAATAACAGTGATCTTCTTTACAAGGCAAACATAGAGAATTTGAAGCAGGGGTGGGGTTAGTAGAAGTCAGTTGTCATGGGAAAGCTGTGTTATTCTGTGAGTAATCTGGGAGCCATCGAGAACTATGGAAAAGTTTTTCTGTCATGGTTAAAATGATTTCAAACCTCTAACGAGGTGCCTAGAAGCAATGGAAAAGCTTTTGTTTTAAATGGTCCTAAAAAGCATTCAGTGTCTTTCAGGAATGATACCTCCAGCTGCTTAGCTTAACCTGGTGTGAGTATATATATACAGCACCTATTACCTACGATATGCTAATTCAAGAAGCCTTCACCGTGAATTATGCACTTGACTGCAAAATTATTCTTTAGCATCTGTCT